TTTTTTTTTTTGCATCACACAAACATACAGTATGCGTTCTTGCATTTTATGCAATGCAAAAAAAAAAAATCGGTACAAATGAACAAACACATACTATGTGTGTATGTTTGTTCATTTGTACCGATTTTTCATTTGTACCGAAAAGCAAAAAGGCTGAACGGGAACTTTATACTCGTGCATGGGCTTCTATCATCAAAATGGACGCTTTTATCCATGTGTTTTCCAAGCACGGATTTCTGAAAATTTTTGGCGAATAAGTTGCTAACTCGGGAACTAGAAAAGCTAGAAAGCTGAATTTTACGGTGATGTTCTCCAAACCCGTAGAGCCTAGTGGCTTCAAACTCAGCCACCAAGGGTGTCTGGCTCTCACGTACGGGCCTGCGAAAATTTTTGGCGAGTAAGTTGCTAACTTGGGAATCAGAAAAGCTAGAAGGTTGAAATTTCAAGGGGATGTTATCTGACAATCGTGGTAGGCAATCTCAATTCTTCAAGCTAAAAGCATATGCCAGAAAAACATTACCGTTAATAACAAAAACGTGCTGGGAACTGTGCAAAAAACGTATCTTCGCACCGGTAGTCAGTATGCTGGTCAATTATTTTTTTCTCGTTACCGATAAAGCCGGCAAAGTATTTATTTTCTTTGCTTCTGACAGTATGTCACACTAATTCCAAACAGGCATAACCTTCTGCCTCATCGGCGACCTTGGTGGTGTTCGTCTAGCACTGCATTAACTATCCGACATTTCTCATTATCACCAATGACCACAGCGCAGTTCTTTTTTCTAGTATGGCCAGTGATGACCTTGAGAGAAGAAAAATGCCCCTCACTTGACATCATATCGCCGTCGAAATGCCAAATGATCGCGGTAGGTACGATTGATGTCTAAATCGATTTGTTTCACATCTTTCGATGTGAGTCGCGCACGCATCAATAATTCGCGATACACATTCCCTTTCCGCTCCTGCTGATATCGGTTGATTTCAAGCAGTCGAGCCCACACCTCAAAACAGTGTACAATTATCACACTCTGCCACACCTCAAGCTGCTCTTCAGACTACAAAATTCAAAGTGGCAACTCGCAGGCTGTCATCAGTTCACACTTGGATCTAGCAGACGAACACCGATGTGCTGTCTTTGTGCCGAAGAAATCAGTGAGGAAAATACGCAGCGAAGCATTACCGTCAGTGACCACCATCTACATAAAAGTAATTTGAATAAATTTCGTGAGTGTCCCCTTCTCCCTTTTCTTCTGTAAGTTCCTGACAATTAGTGAAGCAATAAAACAACAGAAAACAAAAATAGACATAGCACATTTGAGCTGGAAAAGAAACATAAAGAAGCGACATGTGTCTTCAAAAACAATTACATCTGAAATAATTTAAAAAATTTCCAATGAATAGTTCAACGAGCACTAAGACTGCCTAAGCATTAGTCCAGGTATCCTATGCTTATGATCTTACTGAAATGTTCCCATACGCATCAGAGCTTTAGAGCCTGGACTGAGCACCTCTAGAGCAGCATTACCCAAGAGCAGCATTATCCTTAAGAGCATTATAGCTATCTAAAAACTATGA